CACAGTCACAGTCACGACAAAAATAAACTGCGTGATAAAAATACAGCACGAGCAGAAAGATGTGGGCAGGGAGCAGGATCGGGGAGCCATCGGAGGATAAGGAGCCCTATAGCCACAGATATTCCCACGTGCACTCAGACCACATATTTAAGTCCTGATGTCCACAAAGACTAATCTACTGCCACTGTCCTGCTGAACCGCTGTCAGGGGCAGAGCTGAGCACACACAGATTATGTCTTCACGGACTGAAGACGCTCCCTGACATCGTATTTCCCACCAAGCAGCTTCCAGACGCAGAGGGCACACAGGAGATGGAAGTTCTCGCTTTAGAGCAGGTACTAACACAGGAAGGAACTTTTTTTTTCTTAAATAATTCAAGTAAACTTTGCCTCTGTCAAGGCATTTTAACACAAAAGGTGATAATGCTGACTTGTGTGGCTGACTGAGCAGGGCACTGCTCTGAGGGACTCCCTAAGGATGCTCCAGCCTCAGGCTGAGCACCTCAGTGCACTCTGTGCTTCAGCTCCTTCAGCAGAGTGAGAGAGCCTGGGGAGGAGGTGAAGTAAGGGATTTAACCCTCCCACAGCTGGACAAAACGCTGGAGTTGTTCACGCTGTAGCCACGAGGCATCAGTGCACTCCAGGATGGAGCCCAGGGTTGTTTGGGAACATTAGGCAGGACCCCTTCTGTCAAGGAATGGGGAGGCCGGAAGAAGGGACTGCCAGGCCCAGCAAAGAGAATCCCCTCTCGCAGCCCATCATCCACTTAAGGAACGGGCATCCTGCTCTTTCCAAAGGGAAAAACCTCTTCCTTCCACCCTCCCAGGGGGAAGCACCGCCTCAGGAGCACGGCCGGTTTCCAGGGAGTAACCAGAACCCAGCAGTTCCCTGAGCGCAGGGGGATCTCCAGCCCAAAAGCCCACGAGGTTCTCCCTCAGCTGCACTGAGTCAAGGCTGTTTCTCTATGATGCTGCTGCGGGTCTCACCCTCTTCTCCCACCACAGGGACGGGGGGTCACCCCGGGCAGCACCTTCACCCCTCCTCACGGCCCGGCCTCGTCAGAGGGGCTCGCGGGGCGACCGCACGACAAACCTGCCCCCGGGGCCTCTGCCAGAGCCCAGCTCGGGGACATCCAAGCCCGGGAGATGCGGCATCGAGGCAGGAGGAGGCCGGGCCGGCGGCTCTGCCGGGGACGGGCTGGTCTGGCCTCGAGCCGCGACCGACCCCGAACGCTCCCTGTGCCGTAACCCGGCGCGGAGGGTCCCCGTCCGTCTGTCCGTCCGTCCCCGCGGGCACAGCGCGGTGTCCGCTGCCACAACCCGCCGGCGCGGCGAGCCCCGAGCACGGCGGTGTCCCCGCCGGACCTGCACGGCGCGGGGCTGCGGGTGCCGCTGTGCGGGACCGGGCGCTGCCATGGCCGCGGGGCCCTCCCGCTCACCGGCCGCTCCACCGGGAAACTTTTACCGCCGCATCCCGGGAGGGGACGGACCGCCCGGCCCCGCTCAGGCTGCGGCAGCCCCGAGGCACCGCCGGGGACCCTCCGCGGCCCGCGGGGGCCGTTCCGCCGCCGCGTTCCCGGGGAGGGGCCCCCGCGCCGCACCGGCCCCTCGGCGGAGCCGCAGCCGCTCCGCGGGCCCGGCCGCCCCCCCAACCCCGCGCCGCCCTCGGGCCCGCCGCCGTTCCCGCCCCCGCCGAGGCACCGCCAGGTGCCGGGGCTCGCCCCGCCGCCCCCCGCCACGCACCGGCTGCTCCCGGCGCGGCGGCCGCGGCTCCCGCTGCTGCTGCTCCCGCTGCTGCCGGTGCCGCCGTGGCTCGGCGGCTGCCGTTGCCTACGGGTCGCTGCCTCTGCCTGCCGACATTGCCCGCGCGCCGCTCGCATAATCCCCGGCGCGGGCGGGCCGGGCGCGGGCAGCAGCAGCTCCTCGCCCGCCGGCGCTGCGGGGACGGCGGAGGCGGGGTGGGGGGGAGAGGCGAGGCGGGCGGGCCGCTGCAGCTGCGGGGGAGGGGGGAGCGGGGAAGGCGAGGAGCCCCGCGCCGGCGCTGCCCTGGCACGGCGGCCCCGCGGCTTTCTCCGCCCGCCGAGCCGAGCCGAGTCCCGCGCCCCGGGAGCGCCGGGAGCCGCCACTTCCTTCCCCGCGCCCCCGGCGCTCCCGCACCCGCGCGGGCGGGGCGGCGGCGCCGCCTGGCGGGCGCGGCGGGTTGTGCGGGGCCGGTGCGGGGCTGCCCCGGGCCCGGCCCGCCTTCCCCCGCTCGGTATCGGCGGGTCCCGACCCCCAGCCCGGTCCCTGCGCTCACCTGCCCCTCCCGCAGCAGCGCTGGGGACTCCCCAGCTTCACTCCCTGCGAAGACTGGGGAAAAAAAAAAAAATCTCTAAAAGTTTAGCGATCGCTTTATTCAGAAACCGCAGGAAAAATAATTTGCCGTGGCCTTTGGAACCTTCGTTCGTTTCCTGCAGTTGTTCCTGGGGTTATTTTTCCAGGATGCATCGTTCCAGCCCTTCTGTCCCTCCTCGTTTGTTTTGTAAACGTTCCCTGCACTGCTACAGTAAATTCTAGTTCACATCACAGCTCTTTTTAGGGACAAAGTTCCCAGTGCAAAGCAGATTACACTCAAACCTACCACTGCTCCAAGACACCTTTTTTTTTTTTTTTTAATTTGCTTTCTAGAAATTTGAACAAATAGAAGTTTTATTTTCCAAAGGTTAAATCTCAGAGCTGAAGGTGTTGTAATGTTTATTATCATAGAGAAAACTATGCATGGGAGTGTCTTCCAAGGGCAGTGTGAGGCAAGGAGAGCCTGGGGCTCCAGGCAGGACCAAGTAGATCTGGAAAGGCAGTAAATGCCTACATAGCTGGGATGTATCAAGTGAGACAAGGGGAAGATGATTAAAGTCCTTCACGGAGGAGGCATAAGCTTTCTCTCCTTCTCTGGAAGTCTTTATTTATCCCCAAATACAGAATTTTCTCGTGTTAAGGGGAAGTTTAAAAGGGATTTAAAAAAAGGACAGTGTCCAGCAAAGGGCAGGGCTGGCACAGTCCTGGTTCCCACAGTAAACACGCTCCCTGTGTCCCAGTTTTTGGCGCTTCGGGTGTGATTTTCAGGAGCACTGAGCATTCAGGCCTCCCACTGCTTTAATCTGGAACTGCAGAGCCTCTACCCCTCTGATGAATCAGGCTGAAGGTACCACACTGAACAGGTCACCCTGTGTCACGCAGGTATTTCAGAAGGTTGTCCTAGAAGTTTACCAAAAGCAACTTTTTTTTTTTCCCCTTCAGTGTTATAATAGAACAGAAATAGCCTAAAGAGTTCCAACAGATGGAGGAGGACTTTTGATTAAAAAATAAATTCTGACTCACGATTCAGTTTTCTGGATGTAATAAAAAAAGAGTCCATGAATATGAATAGTGCTGGAAAGAATGGAGTGGAGATGAAGGGAGGTGAGAGGGAAAGGCACTGAAAGAGCTGAGCTGATTTACCTACTTGCCTCTAATGTCTGTCAGGAAAATTCTTTGGTTTTGCTGTAGCACTGATGAAAGAAAACAAGGCCATCAGTGGACTCATGAAATTTTCCTGTGATGGATTCCATGGAAAAACCCTGCTGGCTGAGTGGTACTTCTGAAGAATCCTTTCAAATTGTGCCTGTTAATAAAAAAATGCTGGGAAAACTTTGGCTAAATAGAGCAGAGCAGGGAAGTCAAAGATTCTTTTTATTTCCCTCCACCTCTTCTAAGTAAAAATTACCAGTAAGAACACAGAATGACATAAAAATTGTGCATCTCTTTGTGGGGACTGGAAATATATTTAAGGAAGTCATGTCCATGCATTCAGACCCAATTTCTACATTTTAGAGTAAAGGGGAAATGAGGAACTAAAACATCCCTGACACCTTCCCAGCTCTGGTCTTGTACTGAAAGGACCCACAGGGCACAAGGGGTTGCAAAAACCACAAGATTTTCAAGACTCTGCATGGGTAGGGCAGTTCTTCATGAAATATCTGAAACCACAGCACTCTAATTTTAGAATCAGACCTTCTCAAGCTTCCTTTATGACAGCTCCTCTGGCCCTATAATCACATCATTGGTGGCTAAACATCTTGAACAAGGACAGAATATGAAACACACAATATGATTAAAACCTACATTATGGCTGATGTAATATCCCAGAACCTATTATTGTACTTGGGCAGGAGGAAAGAATCTAATTAAACATTTATTTAATATTAAAATACAAACCAAAGTATCAATGTTGGACAGTAATGCAGCAACATGTCAACTGGCAAATCTGGATTTTTCACCAAGAAAAATGCATTTCTGTTCACAAATACATGAAATGTTCACGATGGGAACACTGGCACAAAACCCAGCCTGGCACAGGAAACCAGTAACTTCAGGGAAGGAGTTCCAGTCCTGGAGAGTCAGCTGGAGTGGAGCTGTTCACTGGGAGACAGGGAGGCTGCTGTCAGGTGAATCCTGGTACTCACAGTATCAAACACTACTCACTGTGACTGCTGGAGACATGAGGGAATTCAGAGCAGTATTTTCCTACCACAGCCATAGTGAAAGTATTGCTCACAGTTCTGTCACGATGAAAAATATCCATGTTAAAGGGTTCAGCTGAAAGGATTTACCACAGAACAGCAGTTCTCTTTAACACAGGTAACTCATGTTGCTTTTTGTATTAAAGTTCAAAATCTCCTCTTGGCTAATATTTACATCACACCCTAAATATTTATAAAATGGTGGAGGAAAACCAAGTGCAAAAGGGTAACACTATCATTTTCTGAAAACAAGCTGCCTTTTAGTTTCTTATTCTTATTATAAATTCAATATCACTATTTAAAAATAATTAATATTTCTAAAAATATTACAATACAGGATAAACATTGATTTCTCAGGTGTAATAAAAATATGTTCAAAATAGAGGTTGCGGTTCCAAGTACAAAATATTGCTGTTTGTAAAGGGTAACATGGTTGTAAAACTACTTTTGAGGGCTTATAAAAATACAAAACAATTTGCATTTACTGAGTGCATAATTATATATTAGTGCAAAAAAAAAAACCAAAAGGAAAAGGGTATATTTGCAGTCAGGAGAGAACTGTCAGAGATTGGCAGAGGTCCGTAAAACATGGAATCTTTTCAGAGTCATTCTTATCAACCCCAAATCCCTATTAATTCTTTCCAAACGATCTTCCAGGGCTTCCTAAAAGGAAGAGTTAAAGAAAAGGAAGAGGAAAAAAAACATTAATAATAGAAAAAATTCAACGATCCTTCTAAAATTAAGAAACTCCTGTTATTCCTGTATTCCTGGTATCCTTTTTGAGGCATTATCAGTATTCTGTTACCACCCAAAAACTAGAGCCAGACCTCCAAACTTTCCATAGAATTTTTATGTGTGTATTTGTAGGTTGTTGTTTTTTTGGCCACATGATTTATGAAACTCCAGGAGATAAACTTGACAAGAACTGGGACAGGCTGATAATTAGGGAGACCCATTTAGCAAAGAGCTGATCACTACAGTGAGTGGCAGTATTGATTTTTTAATTTCAAACTGATTAATTGCTAACAAGGATTAGAATTTAGGAAGTGCTGAAGCTGAAGGCTTCACAGGAACCTTTAAAACACAACTTTGAGACACTTGTTTCTATTAAAAGAGTCTGCAGAGCTTCCCAAAGAAGGCACTTTCCTGTATTCCACCTACACTACTTATTTTTACCTTCTTACTTTCCTCTTTATACTTTCAAGGAGACAAAAAACAACCAACCAAAAACTAAACTTTGCAATTTCTCCTACAGCACAACATCCTCTCCACAGTTTCAGGGATCTATTCCATAGGAACTGCATGCTGTTAATTTATTGCCTTTATCTACCTCTCAGTGTTATCACAAGAACAGACTATTCTTGCAGCAAGTTGGCAAAATCCATCCCATGTACAAAAAATAGAAGATATGAACAATATAAAACAATAACATAAGACCCAAAACCAATCTAAAAATTGCCACAGAAATCACACTACACAGCAGAACTTTCCTCTACATATTCTCAAGTTGTGGAAGAGCAATTTAACAGGACAGTCAGACGTAGAAGCTTTTTCACCTGATTCAGTCTTGCTTGCAAGGTCATTCTTCCACCAGAACAAGGTATTCGACTCAGTGCAGCCTCAATCTAATAACAGAAAACACTTCAGCTGTAAATGAGAGTTTCAAGAGCCAATATGAGCCTTCCCAACTCCTCTTACAAGAAGAGAGGTGATGTGTATGGATTACTGATACAGCTACAGTTTTGTCCTTTAACGCTCACTTCTGTGACCATAATAATATGCCAATCCCCACTCACACTGTGTTGGCATTCCAGTGACTGTTCTTTAATGAAATTAGGGACAGAGAAGGTCTGGAAGTAGAGCAGGGAAGGATAATGGCACGTTCCCAGCGTGACACTAAAATTGTGCACGAATTTCAGCCACGCGCTGCGTGGACATCCGGCTCCATCCCTCCCCTCTCGTACAACAATTATGTTTTGTCACAACTTGAAAACAAAAATAATCTTTGCCTGTTGCTTTTCTTGAGTCAGCTCATCAAAAAGCCTCTCTGTTTCAGCCAGAGTCGTGATCCTTGCTGTGTATTTGAAGTCCTCCTCCCCAGGCGATGCCACCGGCTCATATTTTTGAGCTGTGCTCCTCTCGTCCCAAGCTGCCGCCTTCTTCAGCCCGCTGTTGATGGATTCAGCACAAGAGCTGTGCCTGACACCTGAATGCTGCCTTCCTAGCAACAAAGCAGGGGGATTTTTACATTTTTATATTTGTAATTGTCTGGGAAATGATTGCATAGGACAGAAAAACAAAGTAATAACCGCACAAGCAGCACGATCGTGGCGGTATGTGAACCAAGGACAGTGAAGCAAAGCCTCAGTCCCTTGCCTTAAACAACTTCCCACAAGAATGCAAAACATTTGTAGGGGTCATCTTTCAAGTGATCTTTGTAGCACAACATATTTTTTTGGCTAACAAACAGATTCCTCTATTGTGCTAATTAGGAATTACTTTTACTGGTACATTTCTAAATATCACCAAGCAGAGCAGCTGTCAGGCAAACACCAGGCTAAATAAATGCATCAGTAAAAACAAAAGCAGAACATTGTGACAAGGATTAGAAAAGTGAGAAAAGATTTGCTTCAATCAATCATTTAAAAATCTGAAAGAGCTGGTTTTATTAGAGTTACTCTTTGCTATCTGTAATGCAATGTTTAGCAATAGAATTTTATTAGTATGACTCAGGTACATCTTAATATAGACCCCCCCTAAGATATGCATTGGATAACTGAGTTAAGCACAGGGAAATGTATTGCCCTTCTTCCTCAATTTAATTATTTTTCTTGTTCTGCCGTGTTTGTGCACACATATATACATAAAAATAAAATACTGTATGAATGGTATATCTCTGGCTCCAGGGATAAGACAAGACTTTTAAAAGAGGACTTTTATAAGTTGGACTTTGTCAAATCAAGGGTCAGCTTTCCAGTTAAGCAGTTGTTACCACTGTGGAAGGAACTGTGGTACAAAAATATAGCAGATTTTCCCCCCACTTTGACAGATTACCTTCTGCATCATCTAGTGAGAGAAACTGGAGCCTTTTCCTTGGGTTATTGTGCTGTAAAGTAGATGTAGCACCAGTTTCCAGGTCATCTAGAAGTATATCAAACCTACAGAGCAGGAAGCACACAGCAATGACTTGTTAGAAATCAGGGATCAGGCAATACAGAATTTTCTACTTTTTCACCTTTTGGTTAAACGAACAATTTTTTTTATAAAACTATTTATATCCCACAGCCACTGCAAGTCTTCTGATTCCTGTTCATAGCACCATGCCCCAATGTCCTCCTATTTGCACACACCAAAACCTCTCATTTGTGTGACTTTCTCTCAGAGCCTCACCAAGCTGTTGCTCCTGAACACCCTGAGCTCCTGTTTCATCATCCTCAGGAACTCTCAGAGTGGTGCTGGACATTTCTTATTTCTCACACACATGCCCTACACTTTAATCTCACAACTAAGTGTGTTCTCAAACTCTGTAAGCTTTGCTAAGCAAAAATTTTGATAGAAACCATAGTATTTAGGAAGTTAGCAGAAAGGTAAGTTTATGTGTATTTTAAAATGCTTGTAGCTACCAGGACAAGTAGGAAGGTCCTACTTTCAACTTTTATTCACATCTGATCTGCACTTACTCTACAGAACAATTCTTCTTTAACTACTTGTGACTGATCAATGTTGTGTCACTAACAAACCCAACATCCCTTCTACATTTTCCTTGCCAGATTTTAAAAAGTAAAACTCAGCTTTATATTCAGAAAACTTCACATGACTCACTTTCTAGACAAGAACCAGCAGCATTGAGCCTCTATAATAAACATCCTCCTGCTCTAGTAATGATCAGAACACAACTGTAATCACCACACTCGTACCTTGTCACTGTGTTTTCATTCCTGCCAAGCAAATGGCTGAATCCAGGGGAGAGGTTTTCTTTTGGAGATCGTTTTGGGCTGTACGTCACAGACACTGGTGCCAACATTATCTCTCTTCTTGCTGCAAAAGACAAATTATGTTTATCTACCTTAAACCTCCCAGTGCAGTACCTCCCACTCATGTGCTTACAGCTTAAAAGAATGCTTTTCAAAGCTGTCTACACGTTTATTTAAATTTGATGAAAAGTGCATCACAACACGGAGAAATGAAAATAAACTCAGAGCTCTCACATTTGCTGTGATTACAGACATTCTCCTTTTCAGACTGTCAGAGTAATGCAGGAATCCTGCCTCTATTTTGCTCTCTCCTAGAGCAGCCTGTCATTGTTTGCTCCTACTTTTTGAGTAACACAAAGCAAACTTGAGAAAAGCACTGACTTGGAGTGTTGGGTTTCCTGTTGGAAGGAGGAAGGGACGATGATCTCTGGCCTGAAGGGGAGCTGAACCTTTTGGGTCTGTGTTGGTCCTTCCCTTTCTCTGGGGTGGCAACTAAAGAAGCTTCAACAAACCCAACAGTTTGACGTCGATTTGATGTTTCTAGTTAAAAGAAAAAAAAGTTGTTATATTAATCAATCTTTTTCAATATGAGAACTCACGAATATTCTCCTGAATAACAAATGACAAAGGCTGCACTTAAGTCTCCCTCACATCAACATATTTGTGCTGTTTTGTTCCAGTCTCTCTTCTACTCACAGAATAGACAGCTTAACTCATGGAAAAGGATCTTTGCAGAGTGGGGGCCTTTCTTTCCTTTTTTTAATAGAGAAACTGTGGAAATCAGACAAAAGCATCTTTTGAGAAAGAAAGCTGGAGTACCTGCCTGAGCCAAGAGTACAAGCATTTAAGAAAGACTTGATGTTTCTCACAACAAGGCTCCTAAATCCCTGCTGTTACAACAGCTCAGTGCAGTCTCACACACACCAGCTTCCTTAATAACATTCCAATACAACACCATGAGAACAAAACTCAAGTGGATGTACAGCCAGAGCTTTCTTAGGGCTCCATTAACTGTTTATAAATACTGAGATATTCTTAGAAAAGAGGACACTGATGAGTCTCCAGCTTGAGACCCAACAGCAACCTTTGCCTTCCCTCTATTCTAAACAAGTCACTTAACTATCTAATTTTGAATTTTCTTAGAAAAACTCCAGCAGTTTGCATGCTAACACTGTTTTTATCCCTTCGCTGAAGCCTGATGGACTTGAATGCTGAGAATACCAAAACTAAAAGATACGCAGACAAAGTAAAACATGCCCAGGAATATAAAAATAAGAGTTACTGGCTGGTGCGTCTTCTTTGTCTGTCTGTGTCCCCCAGTCTTTAAATACTTTTCCTTCTTCGAGTTCTTTAAAGGCTTTTATAATTGGTGCTTCTGACATCTCATTTTCTTTCTTTTCTATTGTGTTTGTTGAAGAGTCTTCCTGTGAAGAATCTTTTTCAGGAGGAGAGTGATACCTTAAAGGATGTGAAGCAGTGGAGGGAAAAAAATGATCAAATTTTTAATGGAGTGTTTTGTTTTTAAGTAATTGTACAGCACCTACAACATTGAGAATTTTTTTTTTAACTCTATTTAACAAGTACAAAATCTAGAAATTGAAATCTAGTCAATACAAGTTTTTACAAGTGTTCTACTTTATTAATTTTAGAAGTGTTCCACTTTCCCTCATAGTGAATACTGAAGGAAACCAACTCACCTGGAAGGAATATAGTTTTCTTCTAATCTGTTATCTTTGGGGCTTTCCTGGCCTTCCAAAGGCTGGCCAGTGAAGATGGAATATTCAGCTCCTGGTATCAGCCACTTTCTCCTGCTGACATCAGGAGTTCCCAACTTGCTGTGGGAACAAAAAGCTTCAAAATTACAAAAGGCTTTGGAGTTTTTCTTTGGGGTTTTTTTGTTGGTTTTTTTTTGTTGTTTGTTTGGTTTTTTTGTTTGGTTGGTTGGTTTTGGGGTTTTTTTGTGGTTTTTTGTGGGGTTTTTTTGTTTGGTTTTTTTTTTGTTGTTTTTTGGTTTGGTTTGGTTTTTTTGTTGTTGTTGTTTGTTTTTTATTTTAAAGAAAAAGCTGCTATTTATTCCAGTAAACAGAAAGAAATGTACAATAAACTTGTAAATACCGTGGGAAAAAATAACTGCTTTTTAAAACATGTTTGTAAAGCAAAAGTGCAATATTTTTTTAAAAAAAGTCCTATGTTGAGGTTTCAGTCTAAATTACACAATATGCTCAGAATTCTAAGCTCCACAACAATCTTCCTGTAATTTAATGCTGCTTACTCAGACCAAGGTTTGGGTAACAGTAGTTCCCAACTAATTACATGAAAACATTTGGTGGAGATTATTGCAGTAGTTCAGAGCATCTGATCCCAGCTTTCCTTTGGACACCAAATATTAGAAAAAGAAAACACAAAAAACAAAAACCAGGAAAAAGCCACCATTGATGATGTGAGTGATAGACTAATAAGCATCTGTTTCTATATTCTTATCTTGAAAAGTCAAAAGAACAATGTGATTTTTACACACAGCAAAGTAGATAATTAGAAAAAAAGGGTCTTGTTTACCCAAGCTATGAACCATAAGTACTATTGTGTAAATCTATCCTGCTGGGCATTCAATTGGAATGAGGCTTTCCTTGAGCCTCTGAGATCAGTCAGGGACAGATTAACTTCTAAATCCATATTGGCTCTTACATCCCCCTCCCTGATGAACATGGTCTGCCCTGCCCAGGTCTTCCTTTTTTCTGTTCATTGTTGAGGGATCTGGTTCAGAAATATTAAAAGAGCTCTAAACAGAAATCTGTCCCTCTAATATATTAATACATAAATTACTTGCATCTTTGTAATCAACAAAAATCAGATCTACCAAAACACATACAAGTGGATATCCACAAATCACATCAATTATCATTTTGAGCTTCACAGCATCAGTGCTGAACTGGGAGAGACACTGAAGAAACCATAACTAAGTAATGAAAAAAGAAGGGGGACAAAGTTTTTCAGGTCTTTAAAACATAAAAAAAACCCTCAAACAAAAAAAAACCAACAAAGAAACAAACAAACAAAAGAACACAGATCAATTTTAATTCTCTTAACATAAATTCCCAATTCAAACTGGAGTGTGCATTGTCACTGAACTCCCACCCTACTCTCAGGATATGTTAAGAGAATTAAATAAATTCAACTACAAACTATATTTAGAACCATAAAAAGTTGTGATCAGCCTTTCAAATCAATGACACATATGGAAAACCTCCGATGTCTTGTTGGAGTATTAGATTTTATTCCCAAATTCTTCGGTGAGTGTGGAAATCCCAACTCAGCTGAGCAATTGAGACCCATCTAACACTCATTTGGGAAGACCAAAGACACTCTGGTCCATTATCCAAAGTACTGATTTGGGTTTCACAATTTCTTGGAATGTGAAGTCTCTGGATTTTGTTACATGTGTTTAATCCAGTTTAGCCTGTGGACTGACCTCATCTTGATCCACTTTTAGCCAACACATGTTAAAAAATATTCCAAACACAGGACCTGTTTTCCTGTTGTTGGAACATTCACTCACTTGGCACAAGAGGTTCTCAAACGGTTCTCGGTGATGTGGCGAAGTTTCAACATATTTTCATGTTCCACCTGCTTGAGCTGAGCTTCAAGTTTTAAAATTGTCCTAAAGGGGAAGCAGTAAAGATGCATTAGGAGATGATTTCAATGACACAAAAGATACACCATATTTCTTAGTTTATTCATTTTTATTCAGATATCCTGGATGAAGCAGGAGAACAAGAGAAACTGCTGCATTTCTATGTATCTCCGTATCTATCTAAGTACAGATATAAATATGGATTGGAATTCCAAGTTAAATAAATCAGGTAACCTGGCTAGAAAGACAGGACCAGGAGATGTTGCTGTGGAAGCAGAAGAAGTAGAAAAAAACACGTATCCTAAAATAACAAGATTTTTAGTGTGTACAAGTAACATCAAACAACGGGAATGCTTCATAAAATGTAATTAAACTGGCAAGATCTACAGCCTTCATTATCTAGGAGTTGCTGTTTAGGCCATAGTCTGTATTTCATATTGGTAAAAAAGTAATAAGTTTCACAGTTACCTTTTTAAATCAGAAATCTGTGTGTTTGCATCAAGCAATTTGTTTTCAGTTGTATTTAATGTATCCTACAAGAACACAAAGAAAAAAGTGAAAAGCCCAGAAGTGCACTAAAAGAAAAACAAGTAACTCCACATCAGTCTCAAGAACACTCCATTAAATACACCTTCAAAGGGTCCATTAAATTTCCTTGGCTTTGATTTTGCAGTATTTTTGCTGTCTGTGATTGGAAAATAATATATTCCAAATTCCCCCTTTTCCCTCCAGGGCTCTGCAGATGGAGTAAGAAGCTCTCAGTAAAAATAAACATGGATCTTTCCATCTGAGCTTTTTTCAAAATGCATCAGTTAATTCAGCAAATTCTATGGCACATTATCACATTTGGTTTTTTAATTAACTGGAGTGCACCTACCTTTACTCTTTCATGTTCTTTTCCAAGGGACTCGTATTCTCCTAAAAGCTAAAACAGAACAAAAGAACACAAAAACTCACACTGAGACCATCCACAATTAACAGACTGCTGTAAAATCATCCCAACTGCTTGTCTACCACATGCAGAAACACTACAGGGGATAACAAACACTATTAAAGGACATTTTTGTAAATTCTTCTTATCATCTTCTAATTGGAACAAGAAGTTATAGATGGGACAAGAGGAGACAGAGCTACTTACAGAATGTATTTCTAATTTTCAAATTCTCTCTCTCTAAAGAAACTGAATGAATGAACCACTAAAATTCCTCATTGACCTTAAAACTGACTTTGTATTTTGAAATCTCAATTGTAAAAAAGAAGTTAGAGCATGAAGTAGCTTTTCCAGCTAATACCCATTTGGCCAATCCATTTAAACATTCCATAAAGCTATTCCTGAAGAATTGGAGGAACAATTCCTTTGATTCAGCCTAAAATCACACACAATGAACAGTTTTATCAAGCTGTGATGAGGTATGAGAAATTTAGTCCATCTCCAACAAACTTAAGAGAGGAAAAAAATAACTTTCTAAAATAATTTCACATACTGTCTTCAAAAATAAAATTAACTAAGAGTAATAAATACCTGAGACTGACTATGGGAGGAGTTATCAAGTACACATAAGCTGCCTTAAATAATTGTTTTTAAATATCTATTAGTGTCACCCAGCCTACAAGGAGTCAGCTGAGTCATTTCTGCTGTGTTAGTTGTGCATTAAGACTTTCCAGTTGGAAACTCGAAGCAGTTTCCACACCCAGGACAGACTTCCTGTTGTCCATTTTCTCACTTACATTCTGAAACATTTTGTTTTCTTCCTTTAGCCTCGTGTTTTTATTATCAGATAACCTGTAGGCCTTCTCAAAAGCTTCCTCCAGCTCCTTGAGCCTGGACTGCAGGCGGCTGATGGTGTTGTCCTTCTCCTTGTGGGTCGTCCGCATCTCCTCGATCCGCTCCTGCAGAACCTTGGAAGTGCTGCTGAGGGCCTGGAAACGCTCCCTCCACTCTGCCTGGAGGGGAGAAAACGTCCTTTATAAACACTTCCCTGGCAGATTATTTATTTCAGTGCAAAGTGCAACCTGAAATCATCTAAACAGAAAACAAGGGTACACCTGGACATGAATTAAACAGGATTTTTTGCTCATTTCTGTGATGCTTCAAGAATGAAAGTGAAGACTGAAAACACCAAAGATGTATTTATTTTACAGGACTTATAATATCTAGAGATGAAGCCTTTAATCTCAGATGATTGATTTGCTTCCCAGCATAGAAAAATGTCTAAGAAAGGTGGAATTGGTCTCTGCAGGTGTCCAACTTACAAGACAAAGTGTCCTGTGATTTGACTAATAAATGCAGCATTTATTTATGCATACCCAAAGAGGTCTGGCCTAGCCAAAACCAGTGTAAATATACTTAGGGAAAAGAGTATTGTTGCCCCAGCACAGGTGAGATTTGCTTTTATCACAGCTTGAATAAGAAAGTAGTTAAAACAAAATCAATAAATTAGGAAATTTAGAGAGAAACATGATAAACACATCACAATATTTCCCTCTTGAGCTCTGTTTGATCCTTTCTAACCGGGAAAAAGGTTCATGAGTAAAAGTGCTGAGGATTCAGGTAGGGAGTCCCAAGAAACTCAGCTGGGAAAATCACTGGTGTAACACGCTGGCTGACGTCACATAGTAAGACAAAGGTTGAAAATAAAAAGACAAAAGCACAGAAACACGGATCAGCTTAACAGTGAACAAGCTTTCCTCTCACTCTTTCACTTAAAAAGCAACTTGATTTAAGAACATACACTTACCACTTGCTTTTCCAGCAGATTATTCTTATTTTCCAGGGCTTTTATGCGAGCACTGGCTTCATTCAGAGCTGCATCCAACTGCTCACACCTATTGATAACGTACAGATTACACAAATCTTCAAATAACAAATCTACATTTTATAGCCTTCTTTCCTTCCTCAAGCCTCCCCATGAATTTTGGTGCCCAGCCTGTGACCTCCTCCTACTTTGACTCAGTAAGACTGCCCAGAAGTCAGCTTTGAAAGTAGACATTAGTGCTGGAAGTACAAAAGAGTCCCAGCTACCCACACACTTTCTCGATTATTCTGAAGGACATAAACTCTGTGAAGTATTTTAGCTGTCTAAATTTGCAATATGTATTTTGACTGGCAATAATGATACAAAAATCTCATCAATATTCTATATATAGCAACCTTTCAAGCTCTGTCTAATGGAATACACAGGTGGGGCACACAGAGGGCAGCACAAATCCCCCAGTGAATTCAACATTGGTCCTGTATCATCTGGAGTTTTCACATGAAGGGTTAAGAAGGACAACATAGATCATTCCTATTCAAATTGCTTAGGATACCTCTGCCTGACAGCCATTCCTGAGGAAAGCTTCTACTGGCTCCAGCAACAATCAGGCCAAATGAACTGATTTTCATAGAATCATGGAATGGTTTGGGTTGGAAGGGACCTTAAAGATCATCCAGTTCCACCCCCCTGCCATGGGCAGGGACACCTTCCACTATCCCAGTTTCCTCTAAGCCCCATCTAACCTGGCCTTGGACACTGCCAAGGATGGGGCAGCCACAGCTTGAACAGCTGCATTAAATAATGCAAAAGTTACATTTAATAGGGAAGTATTAGTATCACAGATCCATGAAATCTTCAGAACTGAAGAGTGATGTAAACTTTTCAAGACATTCTAACACAAGGATGCCCAGTTTTGAAAGTGTAAAGAACACCACCAAAAGAGGAAGACAACAAGGAAGGACAAACAGCACCTGTCAGCAAGACTTTGATTGATTTTCTTCAGGTCCTCAGCAGAAGCAGTTCTCTGACTTGCCTCCAGCTGCTGCTTTAAGCTCTGGATCTCCGAGTCATAGTAAGCTCGGAGATCAGCGATGTGTCGAGCGTGTTTCTCCCTCAGGTTCTGCCTAATCCTGTTTTTAAAATTAAGAATTAAAAAAAAAAAAAAAATCCAGCTATCTGTATGTAATCATTTGGATATTTCATTCAGAGTGAACTCTGAGTACAAATCTCTCTCACAAAACTTTTTTCCATTCGAATTAAAGCAAAGAAAGTTTTGTCATCTAAGGCAGAGAATTCTTTGCATTAATACAACTAGAAATTATGATTATTATATACAAATAATACATACAAACACAATACAAAGCTTACAGGGCCTGACACATGGAATATATGCCCTGTCTGCCTGTCCACGTGCAAAGCATGAGAGCTTCAACAGTGAATATTTATTTTTCCTAAGTCCAGTAGTTCTGTGCTTCTCCCACCATTTGACTCTAAAGAAGAAAACAGACCCCCCCTCCCAAACTTTGAAATTCTCTGCCTAAATAAACCCCCTCATGCAGCCTGTAAAGGAAGGATGTATTTTTATTTTTATGTATAAAGAGAAATAACCAAATAAAACCTAGGAAATTGTTTTGCCTTCCAGTTAAGGCTTTGACGCCCAAGGAAGACAAAACACAAATATTGTGCCTTGGAATAAATTGTATGGTGTAAAGAAGACTAAATATTGTGGTCTAAAGAAAATTAATAGGACGGTTAAAGAACGACAATTGTAAGAAGTGGAAAATGACTGTTCTATTTATACTCCAGCTATATTTTAAGGGGGGGAAAAAGAAGAAAAAAGGAGAAAAAAAGCAGGAATGTCCAGCTCTGTTCTAAGCAAACTGAATTCACATATTTTCTTTGGTTCACTACTATTGTTTCACTTCTTCCATGAAAGTAACAACTCTGCCTTTTAAAAAAGGAAAAATTACTTACTGTGACATTACCACAGGGTCTTCAACAGGTGCTACTGAAAGACTATAATCTGGCAAAGTGTTGTCAGCACACTGAGTAACAGAGGATGGAGTTAAAGTCAGTGTTTCTTCCTCCTCAGTGCTGACTGAACTAGCATGGTCAGCATCCCTGTATGCCTTTGGAAAAGGGGAGCTGCTCCTGTTTTCACTTTGGAACGGGTGATTTCTCCAGAAGTCCAAGTGCACGGCTCTGCTGCTGGCAGGGTGTTTGGGAGAATCATCTAACTGAGAAGAGTGACTTGTCTGTGAGAAAGAGTCTGTGTCACAATGACTTGAAAATCCTGGCTCTGCCATAGAGTCTGGAGAAAAGGGAGTAATCTCTTCAGGAATATTGAAAAAACAGCGTCCCTGGTTCTGCTGACCTGGTTTCATGTGCAGGGTTGGGTCCAACGTCAAGATCTAGGAAATAAGTTACAATGCTAAAAAACTGTGATTTAACTTTTCCTCTTTGAAATGGAGTTGATCTGAAGACACCAGTAAAGCATATAACACTGCAGGCATTACACTGAATATTAATGCAGTCATTTAGTAGTGACAATAAGAAGGTGCCTCTAACACTCAATGACAATACACATTCCCAAATTTCTAAGTTTCCATTAATAAAGAACATATCCAACATCTGTAGCTGTCTAGAAAACCTTTGAAATTTCACTTACACAAACAGAAGGTCTACGATATCTGTTTATATGTTGAAACAACACCTTTGTAGGTTACAAAAGCAATTCATGAATTATCTACACAATACAGTCACATCATTACTGGATTATGTACAGGACTGAGAGCTGTATAAAAAAAGAGAGATGATAAAGAATCATTTCCACAACCTGTGCCTGTCCTGTTTCATGGGAAGCACTAAGAAAATCCCGCTTGTGCCACTGCAGTTCCAGTGCATTCCATGAGCTGCAGCCTCAGCACAGGCAGAGCCGTCCCTGCACCATCCTCAAGGTTGTGCTGCAAAGGTGCCTCTTCACTCCGGGTGTTCTCAGAGGTTCTTTTCAGCTGGATCCTTTCCCGGGCTGGTTCATCCCTCGGCTGCTCAAACTGCTGTTCCAGCAAAACACTGGAGGTGGCAGCAGGGGCCAGTTCATGTGAAACCAGCCTGTATTCAACATATCCTCAACTGAGATGGGAAGTAAAGAAATTCATGTTACCTCTGGTGGGTGACTTGACTGGGAAGAAGGCAAAACACTCTGGTCTGGCATCTGCTTGTTTTCCCTTTGTCTTTTATGATAAATATCCTTCAGGGATGACAACTTCCTTTCCTCAGCAGAAGACAACTTCAACAGGCAAAATTGCTACATTACTTTTTCTGAACACAATCCTCCATCCCCAAAATAAATAAATAAAAAAGTTTTGGGGTGGGTTTAGCTAATAAGGCAGTTCAGGACAGAAGGCAGCTTTATTCAATGCACCCAGGCTAAAAAAGGGTCTTTAAGGAGGCACCTTTAATACACTAGTGAGTCACTTTTCATGTCCTACAGAGTTTCTTTTGAGTAACAAAAGAAGGTCAATAAATTCCAAGTGAGGTTAGTTGGGGTACAGGAATAATGAAGGAGCAGAGTAGGAAAGACTGAGTTAACAACAGAGTTCTCACAGAGAAGTTAAATTCTGGAGGGCTGGTTCTTTCCATCATAGGAAAAAAAAAAACAAAGATGACAAGGAATTACATGACAACTTTTAACCACATACAAAGTTTACCTGATCTGGTGATACTTTTGTGGAGAAAACATCAGCAAACTCACTTCTGAAATTCTCTGGTAGAGTGTGATACATCTCCTTTTCATCTAACTTCCAGTATGAAAGTCCTGACAAGAAGAAACATCAAAAGAAAAAAAAAAAAAAAAGAAAAAAGACAAATTTCAAGCTCGAGGCTATAGAACAGGAATCCCAAAATCCATTAGTGAAATGTTATTTTGTCTTGAACAAGAATGCTGTGTTAGTTATTTGCATCTACTGCTTAAGGATCTTATTAGAGCATTTGTTACCAGGAGTGACAAAAATCTCAGTGCAAGGCACAGGCAACATAACCAGCATCACATCACACAGCACCACAGTCACTGATGGGTGTTGAGGGGAAAAATCCTCAATTATCACAGACTTTCATATTTCTAATGATTCCAGTGTAGCACTTAAAACTGTTATCACCCAAGGGATAATCCCAGGCAGCCACTGGATACTGCAGACTCCTCAGTTTGGTGTTGAACAGCTCTCTGTAACATGCAAAAGGACAGACTGCCAGGACTAAGGGGTGGCACAAGAGGAACAGACACAGACTCAACCCCACTTCAGTTTTTTATGTGTGTCCCTCTCTCAGTGGCTTGTGAAGCAGCAATAATTATACACAGTTTGCAGGGCTGCATCTCTGTGCCCCTGTTTGTTACTGACAGGAATCCACCCTGTTATGATCAAAATATGGGAATTAGTTTTTTGGCTTTCATCAAAAAAAAAAAAAAACCCACAACCCCCAAACCATGAAAAACCACCACCAACCACCCCTCATATCCAGCCCCCAGAACAACAAAGCCAAACCATGAACACAAAAAAGCAATCTAAGAATCACCACATTACCAGGTCAGTGATGCTCACATTTGAAGCATCATTTGATACCTTGCCATGATTTTAATAGTAATTATGTTACGAAACAGTTTTAAACACAAAGCTCAGCTTTGAATCTTGGGAAATTTGGAAAAAAAAAAAAACAACTGCTGCATGTCCTACATCTGCCAGCAGTGATACAAAGGAGCTGCATCAGTTTGAAAAGCGGTGCAAGAAAAGCAGAATTATGCTAAATCAAAGCCTGTCAGTGCTTAAATCCTCCTCACCTCCCTGGAGTTACTGGAGATGCATTCCAGCAAGAGCACTGAAAAATGAGAATTCCAAAGAAAAGGAAATTTAAGTACAAGAAATTAACTCTACCTGAAGCTTCAGACACCAAGGAATTGGGACTTTCCTTCGGTTGGTTGAGGTAAAAAGTGTAAGGTGGCAAAGCAGCATCAGTAAGGTTTGTCTAAAATTACAATGGGAAAATAAATTTATAAGGAAAATCACAAGGCAAGGAAAAAAAAAACATCAAGGGTATAATTTTTTTTAAATTGCACATAAATGTTACTACTCTTTTTAAGCAAAGAGATTAAATAGAGCATGATCCAAACCTACACAATTTATATTGAAAGCAATCACAGTTGAAAGGGAAGCTAAGATATGCCTCATAACTTTAAAATATTTATATTTTTATACATATTTATACAGATATATCACACACACACACACACATATATATATATATATGTATTTCTATTTTCTCTAAAGTGCCTGTGTGCTTGTGGAGCATTTTTGGGATTAGCTGTTACAGAAATACACATTTTGGACAGTCATCTCAACTTTCTTGTTCCTTAAGAGGTACAAGTATACAGAGATGACTTAACAATAAAGAGTTACTTCCTTCCTCATCCTAAGATTGGAATTTCATATATTCAGTTGTTATGACTCCACCTATCCCAAATTTGGAGGTACCACTGTCTGTCATCTCAGACAGACAAGGTATTCCACATCCTTCTGCTCATCACTCCCAACTTTCCAAACTTCCCCAGCTAATCAAAGCAAAACTTTGAAAAGGGTGGGACCAACACAGGGAAAAAAAAAATTCATATTATTTAAGATTTGCCACAACTCTCCTCTTCCTTAACCAAAGGAAGAAGTGGCACTGATATAACAGCAGAGCAACTGAGGAAGGGCAGCTGCTTAGAAATGGTCATCTCACATTCTCTTTTCTGCTCTGCTTAGGGCTTTTTGTTCCATTAGTGCAGCTCAACAACTGTACAAATCCACACACTTCATACAAGTGAGGACTGTAACAGGATAGTAACCACTGAGTTAACAAAAGTAAGAGAGGAAAAAATCAGAACTAAAGCTGTTCAAGTTTTTGCAGGAATTACCATCTCACCTCAAGGCTATTTTGTCCCTCTTAATGTTTTTATTTAGGTATTTCCTTTGCCTAAGGAGGAAGAAAGGAAAATGAAGGAGTAGCAACTGCATTCTTCCAAAGGAACAGAAAGATAAAGCTCTTTTCAAAATCTGAGTTTCTGGCACTAATTTCCTTATGCACCCTCTCCTGTAGCAGAGAGAGAAAAGAAAACCAACCACAGCAGATGCATTGGACTCCTGGTTTGAAAAATCCCCTTAGAGGAATATCTTGTTTCCTCTGACAACAGAAGACTGAAGAGAGCAAACCCAAAGAGCTGCTCTCACCCTTCCTGGATCATCCTCCAAGTGACCACAGGAAAAAAAAAACAGACCCTGCCTTGAATCAAGTGATTCGTATTTGCTAGTTCTGTGCTCTTGTAGAAGCCATTCACAGAGTTGCAGGAATTATTTCCTTAGAAATGGCATAAGGAGAGAGGTTTGTGACATTGAATATGCTGGAAGTCATTCTAAAGCTTCCTAGTTGGGTGTATGATGATTACTCATGCAATCATGTTGCATAACATACTTTTGGATCAGAAATATTATATGTGATTAAACTTCCCTTCTCAAAATAATCAGATTTGTGGACATACACAATTATTAGCTGAAAAGTATGAGCAAGGGGGAACCCAAACTCTTCTCATAAGAAGTATTTTGAGCTGATTCAAACTGAGACTGCTGAGAACACTAAAAAAGCCCAAACCAAACTAAACAAAAAAATCTCTGCAACTTAAAATCCCAGTCTGGAAGAATGTTTGTCCTGGGCAAAGTGGTTAAAGCCTTAACAATACAAAGAATTTTATGTGCCAAAAGAGGCATCAGCAGCTGACAGATCCTTCAAAAGATCCTTCAAAAAATTACAGGGCACCATAAATTGCCATGACCTGAAGCTTCAATTGAGAATGTGGCCATTATCTCCACAAGGAAAGAACATGTGCCACTTGGGGAGGTTGAGACAAAGATTAGGCAGTGAATAAAATAAGCCAAAATCACTGTGTGCCTGAGTATGGAATGATCCAAGAAGTAAACTTTGCCCACATGAACTTTAAATACATGAATGAGAATTGCTAAATGCTAAATATGAAAGGATATGCTGGATGAGAACATACTGTAACTCTGCAAAAATACCAGTGACAAGAATAACATCAGAAAAACACAAGAAAATAAAAAGAGGCTTACATTCTCAAGTGGTGATTTCTTCACTTTCTCATTTTCTTGCATAGAGTTCACACACACTTCATCTGCAGTTATCCTTTTTGGTTGGTTTTGTTTCAACTTTTGTGCCCACGACGTTAAAGATTTACTGGATGGTAAGAAACACACACACATATAAGGAAGGTATTTCCCCCAACACATCTACAACAAATAAACACTGCAGATGCAAACCTGCATCACACAGAGACATCAGGCTAAACAAATATATTTATCTACCAAGCAGCAAAGTTTTTACAATCAAGAGGTTCCATTCAATTCTTGCATGTTCCCAGTGACCAACAGCTGTTTACTCAATGGGAACTGTCTACAATAAATTAATATACTTGGAAAGTTTATCACTTACCTGGGTTTCTTCCCACATGGAGCTTCATCAACTTTATGCTCAAATTCAGCAGGAAAAACTAAAATGTTGTTCCTTCCCGGTGAACAATTTTCCTCTATTCTTTTTGGTAAAAGTTCTGTTTTATTTTGAACACTGGCTACAATTGCATCACTCTGCAACCCCGCTCCATCCCTGTGTCCTTGGGAAGTTTTCTCCATGGAATCTGTGGCCCTGCTGGTGCTGTTGGCCGTGCCAGGGTTCAGCTCGGAGGTGGAGAGCGTTCCATACCCGCTGTTCATGGAGGTGTCGCTCCCGCAACATTCCTGCTGCAGGTCGGATGCACTGGGCTGGCTTTCTGCTTCACTGGATCTGAGCTGATGGACAATGCTCTCGTGTTCCTCGAAGAGCTCAGATCGCATCCCCATTGGAATTGCTAGTGGTGGAAAAGTGTCTGGAAGCGTGGCAGGCAAACCCCGGCTCCTGCCGGCTCCCCAACTGCTGCTCCCAAACTTCACCAGCTGCCTGATCTCAGCCTGAATCAGCTGCACAAAAGGGAAAGGCGGGATTGCCATGAGATGCTGGCACAAATCACATCTGTATTTTGATGCTTCATGTGATTAGTGACAGAATTAGAGCACTTATTTCATAGGACTCCAAGATGTGCAGACACCTCATGCATGAAGGAGATCAGTACGTACTGCGCGCAACAGTAAAATGTCCATGGGAACAATCCTTCATTCCATGCAGTGAATTCCAGGTCTCAGGAGTCATTAATTCATGTAAAAAACATGCATGAATGTATTCACCGACTGCCTTCAGAACTACAGTCACCTCCCAGCCAGCTGAAGAAATACAAACTATCCACAAACGTGGGACAGAAATGTTTTGCTGAATTCAGGTCTAAACCAATTTTTAACTTGGATATACACTTTTAAAGACTGCAAGGATGCCTCACTGGAAGGATTAACCATTCCTCTATTATGCTAATAGGAATAATGTACCTCTGTAAGATTATTTGCATAAAATTTGACTTTAAAATACCCAATTTAGATATTATGGCATAATACAAAGATCTACATTTAGATTGCTCTGGTGTCCGATGGAATGGAACAAACCTATGACTGGATCACTCCATTTAACAGGTTACTTAGTTTACAATGTCTGCAGAGAGTTATTTCAGTACATAAGTAATTTCTTTTTAAGTTTTACAGTTGTGCACTGGAAGTACTGAAACAGCTCTGAGAAACAAGTGATGCCTTTGCCAAGGGCTATGGAAAGATTTCCCATTAGTGCCCATGGGCAGCACTTCCCCGGAGTTATCTCGAGATTACTGAACTGCAGGAGCACACAACTCTTCTTACATGTGACAAGACCAACATATAGAGTTCCTTTCAATAACATATTTCAAACTAATTCCCTCAGGAAAGGCAAAAAAAAAAAGACCTTGCAATAATTTTTGAGAACATGGAACTCCTGTCTTTTCACAGGACTACAGGACATCACTCACACATGAACAGCAACTGGGAAGCACAAACTGAACAAAAATCATTTGTTCTCTTAAAGTAAGAAATAAAAAATAAGACAATTTCAGAGGAACCTACTTGTAACTCTAGTCAGGACCAAGCCTCAGATGTTTTATTGACTTGCAACAGAATTAACAATTGAATTTCAGCTCAGTCCTTCTATGCCAAAAACAACAAACAAACAAAAAGCTTGGGATGAAGTTTTCTTCCTTAATAAAGTTTTTTGTTCTATTAGTGATTTCAATCATGAGTGCAGCAATTGTTTGCACTTTAATTCTGTGACTGAACTCTGTCAGAAAGGTAGGGAAGGGAGAACAAAAGGGAAAAAACAGAACTGGGGGTGAGGAGGGAGATCAGATTCCCTGCTGACATTTAATCTTTGTCATTAATACCCTGTGTTGGAAAAGTGAAAGGCTACAATTCCAGCTAAAGTGCATTTTAACTTCTCTTTGCATAGTCACAAATAATTGCAAGAGATGGAAAAACCTGGGAAAAATAAGATAAGGTTTCTAAAGTTTAGGGATCGTAGGAAAATTTGGTTTTAAATCCTTTTCACAAAGTCTGATCTTAGGATGATCCACAGGTGGTGACAGCTCATTGTATTGCCTATTGTATAGGTCACATAAGCCAAGGACTGACCCCACTGATTCCAAAATGAACTCAAGGTCTTTTGATCCCTATTTTCACAAGGATGAAGATGTACTTTCATAAGCACAGTTGGTCTTGAAACCCAGCCTAGAGCAAGCCTTATCTCAGGCATGTCAATGCTAATGCAGCATCTTGCTTTTCTACCCCAAATAGATTATTATTTTTGTCTTTTTATTATTCTTAGTAGAATGTGTTGAGCTGCCTGTGTTTTCAGCAGGTCTCTGGCACAGCAGTTAAAGTTTGGAACAGCTCCATTTATTTTATCTAATGCACTCATACAACTGAGTGGTAGCTGTTAATTTTGTATTTAGTGTGGCAATTCATGCAGTTAGTAAGTCCCTGCTGGCACCACGCCCCTCAGCTCTTCCAGAGGTAGCCTTTCCTATTAAAAAAGACAAAAACCAGCCAAGCCAACAAAATGGATTAGTAAAGACTATGATCAACAAGTGAATCAAACCACTACAGTAAGAGGAAGGCAATAACACAGGTAACAAAACACTGGTGGGACGAAAATGCCAAGATGGGAGGCACAGGGGAGGAGGTGAGGCAGGAGAAACAGGATAAAAGGACAGTACCTCTTGTTAACTCAGCTCAGGAACTGCTGATTATTACTAGTGTGGAGGGCACCAGGAAAGGGAAGGGAGAAACAGCAACCAAAATGATGAGGATATTAAGCATTGTATATTTACAGTATTACTGTCTCTTATACATACAAAGACACTTCTCCTGTTCTAAAGGATAAATGTGGTTCAGCAAAAATGTGAACCTTCACAGAGGTCATTTTTCATTATTAGAAAGGAGACTGTTCAACTGAAGGGTGAAATAAGTGTTCAGCTGTTACAGTGATGGTTTTCCTACGCTATGCTGTCTGGACAAGTAGTACAACATTTTCTAATGAAAAGAAAGCTACAATGGCTCAAAATCAGAAATTAAACAGTCTAACAGTTAATAAAAACCATCTTGTACCTACAAAATCCAGTTATCATGTGGGCATTCTGAACCAAATGTTTGTGAAAACAAAACAATAGAAAACAGATAATCAACAAATCTCTTCTGAAATGGTTCCTACCCGTTAACCTGTTAATTAGCCAAGGTTGTCTCAAATATGCATCCAGTAAACAGCATTCCAGTTGTCCACTTCCATTACCTGCCTCTCTGCATTGTTTTGGAGGGGTGTGGGGTTGGAGGGAGAAAAGAAACATTCAGCCTCATCTACCCACATGGCCAAATCATTACTTACTTGGATTTGATGGTGGAACTGCTCTTGCTGGGCAACTATTTGTTGCTGACATTGCTTTTCTACCAGTCTCAGCAGCTGTAGCCACCTTGTCTATTAAATCACAAAGTAAAATAATTAAAGCACAGTCATATTGCATCTCTCACCTCTTCCTGTAGCTACAAATAGCTTTGCAATCCTATACTTAGGTGTTGACATAATGCAAAGCTGAGTAACAGCACCGTGGTTTCCCACCCCACCACCCCTGCAGCCCCCAATGTGTCAATCAGTGGGAACTAAAAGAAGAAACAGCTGGCAGGAAAGTACAGTCGAATTTTGGAAAGGCAGATCCAGTTCAATTAATTAAAGGCAAGTTTAAAATTGAAAATTAAACATCCCTCCATTCAGGGAACCATTTACTTCAATAAAAAACTCTTCAGCAATCCTGCTGAAGGCCATGATGCAAAAATATGCAATAAAAAAAAAATTAATTAAAAAAATCAAATGTATAGCATTCCTAAAACATGGCAAAATCTGATGTTTAAAAACTATTTTATGCCAATGTTTATGGAGCCTGGTGCTTGAAGCACAGGACACAGACATCAATATTCTGTTTCTGGAGGTGTTAAAGAGAACCCAAATTAAGCATCTGCCAAGAGACACTGTGATGGATCACAGCCAGAAAGCTCAAAAATTCTGCAGGAACAAGCCCATGGTGTGGAAAACTAATGTTCCTTATGATGACTAAATATAATGATAACATATAAAATAAAAAAGGACAAAAACCTTCAGAAAAGTGTTCGGGAGAATAAGTTCATTGAAACTCCATCATTATTTTTTTTTGTGTTGTTTTAAATCGGAATCAAACTAATCACCTACACTTCTTTACAAATGGAACATATAAATAAATCAAGCAAAACAGAACCATTTTTAGAAAGAAAAATTCTATTTTCTAGGATCACTTCAGATCAGTTTGAAGTGCTACAGTTTTAAAGGTTTAAATTTTTCAGTTCAAAAACTTTGGGGGGAAAATATTCACATCTGTATTGTAAAACATAAGATAGACAGATAAAATAGTGGAAAATGCTAAGATAAAATTGCAATAAAATCCAGCCAGGTGATTAGTTCATACGTGTAACAGGATCTGTCCCATCAAGAATAAACACATATATGTGTATATATAAATCCATATATGGATCTTGCTGCTGAACTACATCATTAGATTTGCCTTCCAAAATGCAGAGCAAATACATTAATACAACTTTTTTAAATAAACCTGAACATCAGTTACCTCACAGTTCTTCACAATTTCCGTGTCAGCATTTCCAATGGCCTGGATGTCTTGCATAAAGGAGGCAAACAGTTCAACAGAACCAGGCTTTAATGAGGACCTGGTATTCCCTGAGTAACCAGAAACTCCATTGGGATTGGATGAAGGACTTCTAGTGAAACATGAGGAAAAATAGCTCAATTATTTATTGTGTCAGTTGTGCAACACAGTGGCCAAAACAATGCACTACATATGCTGGGCAGCCAGAAAAGAATTATACACTTAATTTATACTGAGCCTCTCATCATCTTGAAATAAAAATGATAAATTCACGAGGAGGTTTTTCAAGCCAATGTCAAAGAATCCACAGTGTGCTTCACCCTTATCCTACACACTGTGAAATGCAGTAGCTTTCCAAGGAGAGAGACAGGATCATCAGCACAGATATCGCTGCTCACTGGTACAAACATCAACAAATACAGCTTTGCATCAAACTCATGTGATTCCTCAGAGAGCCTGAGGTCAGAAGCTCACAGAGCTGAGCTTCTGTGGAGCAATGGTTTAGGAAGGGCAGGACTGAGGCCTCTTGGAGAAGCGACATGGGCAGGAGTGACTTGTAACTCTCATCTTAACAGGGCAGTCAAGAACCACCTCTCACTTAGGCCATCAGGCCATATTTGCACTTCTTATTCCCTGGGAATACCTCAGGCATTAAACAGAAAAAACAACTCAGTTTTCCTAAGCTGCTGCTCTCCAAAAATGACTTCACACAACGCATGAGCTTTCCAAAAAATGATCTCTTACAATTTGGCCAAGACAGGTTCCCTCCTTCCTCCCCCATTCTAAGAGACACGAGGCAATGGAAGTTAACTAAGAATTTAAGGAAGACTTCACAGTTCTTTCAGTAAGGCTTTCCTCTAAAAAGAAATCTTTCATCAAGATTATACCTGTGAAAGTAAAAAGAACCCTGAAATATATTGCAATCTTACATATTATTTCACCTTAATAACAACAGTACTGTAAAAACATTTGAACTAAGCAAACCCAAAATAATAAAAATATTTGTTAGGAATTCCTTCAGCACATTACCTGTTACAGTTCAAGTTACAGACAGAGCTGTGGGTGTTTCTGACATCAGAGTCTGCAGAAGACGAAGGGATTTCCTGTACAGAATTCACCACATCCCAGTTTTCCATATCTTGGTCCCAAGTACGTTACCCTGAGAACAGACAGAAATAAGAATCACCTTCTTACTTTAAAAAACCATTTGACTTTGTTGCTTGAAGAAACAGAATTAAAGAGGCAGTTGTTTCGGCTAAACCACCCCAGAAAGTGCAAATATTCCACAACCAGCCCCTCTCCCTTCCCCTGGGCTACACCTGCCAACAGGAGCTCCTCAGTTAACTTCGTGCCTGCTGGGACTCCTACGAGCCAAAGATATTCCTAACTGTGCATCACACCTCTGGACTGGACTGGAAAGGGTGTCAGTGCAAAATGTTCCAGGTAAAACAGTGTTGTTGGGGTTTGGTTGGTTGTTTTTTAAAATCTGAGGCTCCACTGGGCATTTTCAAGGCTTCTGTGAAAACACCTACTATCAATATATTTAAATGTGACCAAGGATCTGCAACTTCACTGGGAGAAACACGTTCACCAAAAATAATAAACACAAGACCCACTGAGTTAAATAAACTGCACTTGACCAATTTTGCCATTTCTGTGTCTAATATCTGGCTCACTTTTTTCACAGATCACTTGCTTCATTGTTATTATATAACACTAATTCAGAAAGCTTTGAAACTGTTCTGAGCTACATTTCTTAGAGATTAATAAAACAACAAAAAAAGCAGTCAGACAGGAATCCCACAGCAGTTCAAAACAGCAGCTGGTTAACTGAAAGCATCATAAATAAATAAACACACAATACTTGTGCCATAGTCTTACAACACTCAAAGTAGGGTGGCTGTAGAGAGACTAAAAGATTTTTCTACTTTCACCAAGAAAACACCTGAAATATATTAATTAATCAGTTCTTATATAGTGCTTATTTCAGCATGTTCTACACCCTGGTGAATTCAGCCCTTGTTATAACACTGAAGAAAAACCTTATGATCATTTCACAGATGGACAGTAAAAAGAGACATTAGGAAATATCCTGTGATAATGCCAAGAACAAATTCCTGCTGCCTTAAAGAAGCACAACACCTCCAAAGCACGACCATTCCTCTTTACAGGCCTTACAAAGACATGCTGATGGGTTGTACAGACTCACGTTTTCATCATTTTAAGTGCATAGAGATGTATCTCTAATAGATAGCTACAGAAATATAAAATATTTCCACCAGAAGGAAACTGAGAGACAACTGTCTCATTTTTCCCTGTTTTCTTGGAGCCTGTTTGGCTCAGCAGAAATGTTTTTTGGGTACTCACTCACACCATCTCCTCTGGGTAGGGCTGAAAACGCCAGAATTCAAAGGAAGTTACCAGAGACACACATATCCCTTTGGCAGAGCTTCTTGGGATAAAGAAGGAGAAAAAAAAAAAAAAAAAAGCTTTCTTCTTTTTCTAGCGGTCAGAAGTCTGGAAAACTTGGAGGTTATCAGACTTGGCAGCTAAAGCTGATGCTGTGGGAGTGTCTCTGGAGCAGCTGGATGTGGGATCAGTCCCCCCCAGGATGGAACCATGGGCGGCCTATCTCAGCAGCACAGCAATGGGTGGGACTTAGCTGTGACACAGGCTCGTTTCATAACCTCATTACGAGTCTGTTCGCAATAAAAACAATATTTAGTGAGCTATAACGGGGCTGCGGGAGCGCTGAGCCGCCATCCCTCGACTCCGCAGCACAGCACGGTCCTTATACGGCCACGACGCTGCATTAAGGGGCAGGCTCGGAAAAAACAACCCGTGAGGTGTTTTAACTCTGAAATATCAGCGCCGGTTTCGCCGCAAACGCCGGGGCCGGCACAGCCCCGGAGCCCGGGAGGTTCCGCATCGCCCCCCGAGCCAGACCCGCTCCCTTCCGATCCCTCGCAGGTCCCTCAGGGCTCCTCGGAGCACCCTCGCCGCCAGGCCCCGCGTCCCCAGGAACCTTCTGCGGGACCCCGCGACGGGACAACGAGCCGGGGCCGCAGCGCCGCGGTGTCCTCAGGAACGGCCCCGGCCTCAAGGGCTCAGCCCCCGCGGGGACCCCTCTCGCCACGTCTGCGCCCCCGGGACCGCCTCCCTTCAGCCCGTGCCCCCTCCCCGGCCCCGTGTGGGCTTCCTGCTCTCACAAGCGCCGCGTCCCTCCCGCGGTGCCCCCACACCCGTCCCCGGGCACCTCCCGCTCCCCTCACGGTCCCGTCCCTTCCCCAGCGCCCCCCCCGACTCCGCCCCCCCCGCCCCCTTCGGGCCAAGCCCCGCCCCCGCGCTCCGCGGTGTTGACAGCGCCGCCGCCTCTGATTGGCTGGAGCGCCCGCCACTCTCCGGGCGAAGGGGCGGGGCGACGGGGGCGGCTCCGCGGCTCCGGGACGCGTCGCTGGGACGGGGCCAAACGCGGCGGCGCTGGCCCCGCGGGCCCGCCCGGTTCCTTACCCGCATCGCTGGGAGCCCGCGGCGTCCAGCCAGCCGCGTCCCGCCGCGGCCGTGAGGCGATGGAGAGGCGCGGGCCCTGCGCCGCCCGCCCGGCGATTGGCGGCCCCGAGTTTCGAACCGTGGGAAGGGTAGAGGGCGCTCCGGACCGAGCGCCGCGCGCTGATTGGCCGCCTCGAGCGCGCGCCGGCCCGCGCCTCCCGCGCTGATTCGCTGCGCGGCAGAGCCCGCGCGCCGCCGCGCGGAGATTGGCGCGCGCCGCCGCGCGGGTTCCCGAAGAGCCCCATTGGCGAGAAAGGGGACGGTGCGCCTAAAGCCCGCCCCCCGCGCGCAGCGATTGGCTGTCCCACGTGCCAATCAGCGCAGTGGTGCCGCCCCTCCCTCCCGGCGCGCGCATGCGCAACGCGGGCGCGGCCGGGCCGGCGGAGGTGAGTGAATCGTCCGGGATTTCTGTTTCCTCTTATGTTATCGTTGTGGGGTCGAACAGCGGGAACAGGCCGAGGGAACGTGGGTTTTTAACCCTGTCTATGAAGAGCTGTCAGTCCTGGTTTCAAAGCGGGCAGAGCCCTATGAAACCGGCTAAATAAAGGCTTATTCCCGTTTTTTCTGCATGTACTTTTCGTTAAAAAATTACTAACTTCTTCAGTGGGTGCCAATAAAAGTTTGCTTAAAAATATTTTCAATTATTTTTATTATTATTTAATTATTTCAAGTTATGTTCAGTTTCTTATGAATATTTATTCACACGCTGAAGTATTTTCTTCTACTTTAAGCATGACAGGATGTACTGTTTTAATTGATTATTGCAGAGTGACATTTGAAAGCAGTAGGACTTGACATTCCTCATTATCCATGAGGCTGTTCAGGTCAGCCTCCAAGGTAGAAATAACCTCTCTTCCCTCTCTTTTTTTAATATTTGATACCTTTAGTGTTTCCCAAGCATTGGTAGGAGTGCTTATTGACTTACTGTTTTCCAGATCCCTTTCAAAATAATCCAACTATTTTAAGAAACCTAATAACATTAAGAACCAAAATTCCATTCAGAATGGTAAATATTCCAGGGCAAATGCCAGTGAAACAGTTCAGATATCCTTGAAAACAAACCTGATTGTGAAAATATTGCGTAAGATGTGCAGCCAAACTGGATCATCTGAAAACAAGGATTCTCATGGTAAACTCCACTCTCCACTTCTATTCCAGGTTTCATCCCAGAGAAGCCTGTCCTCACTCCTGTATGAATGTTCCAGGTTTCTTTCATTTTCCATTCTTACTGAGAGAATTGTCAGCATGGACACCCTGGATTTTGAGGAAGCAGCAGCTTTCCCTGCCCAGCATTCCCATGCTTCAGGCAGCAAGAAAGAGGAACTCCCTGAATCTCCTTGGACTCACTGAGGCAGAACTGGAAGAACAGTTTGTGAGAGGTGATGGCCCAGGGGGTCAAGCCACAAATAAGACAAACAACTGTGTTGTCCTGAAGCATATTCCATCTGGGATTGTAGTGAAGGTAATTATGTTCTATTTTGTTAAGGCACAAATTGCATCACGACTTCCAGGCCTCCTTTCAGAGTAAAGCACAATCACAGTGTGCATGGCACGAGGAAAAGTTTATATTTATGGTAAAGAATCTCAGCAAGAAGCACCTCTGGCTGTCAGCAGATAAATAAACTGGGGTCAGAGCTGATCTTCTTGGCTTTGCCATGAATTTACTGGTTTGTAGTTTTCAGGTAAATGAATCTTCATTGTAGCTGTCACATTCCTGTCCCCCATGGGAGTGAGAATCTCTCCTTTAACAAGTTGCTCACACTCTGCAGATATTTTTAAGCATTTTCCTTACCTACTTCCTGTGAATTAATACCCTGAAATTAATCTTTGCTTCCTGTCACAAGGGGAAGACACAGTTAAGTTAAACTCAAGCAGCTTTCCAAGGTAATATGGAAGCATTAAAGATTAATGCAAAAGCCAGTCTGACAAGTGCAGTAGCAATAATTATTAAAATATATAATCTGGATATAAAAGTTCCAGCTGTTATTGGTAGGAGGATGCTCTTGGCTTCGGGAGAAGGGGAGTTTCTTTGCTGTAATGGCAGGAATATACAGACTGAGAGGGAAAGCAGAAGAATAAACAGGTTAAAGTTCCAGTAAAAACATCCTGTTTTATTTCTTTAGTGTCATCAAACAAGATCAGTGGAGAAGAACAGAAAGATTGCCAGAGAAATCCTGCAGGAAAAAGTTGATCTTTTCTACAAAGGTGAAGAGAGTGATGTTTATAAAGAGAAAAAAGCATCAGAGAAGAAGAAGCAGGAGAAAAAAAGAAGAGCAAAGGAAAACCTGGAAAGGAAAAAGCTTTTTAAAGAGGTGCAACAACTGGATAAGAAATGAACATGTGAAATACTGACTTGCCCTAGTGGGGTAAGGGAAATGTGTCATTAGACCTGAACACACCTTTCAGACTAACACGATGTGGGGCTTCAGAGGCACAGCTGAAACACCCAGAGCTGACCTGCTGTTGCTGTAAAGGGATAAAAGCACTCAGGTATTCCTGCTTCTGTCTGCCATCATCTCATTAATCACACTTAGCAATCAGTTGTTCTGCCAAGTTCAGAAGATAAAAGAATCCTTGTTAAAAAGGAACTATAAACTTTCCACTGTTGTTAAGGGAGACAAAAAAAAAATTCAGTAGATTTCCTTCTGCCCAGGTGACACCTTGAGATGCTTTGTAGGGGCTCCAGCACACGAGGAAAACAGCACTAAAAGGTTCTCACTTCCCATCCTTACTCAGGCAATGCCTTCAGTGACATAAATTCTTCACAAACCAGGTTTAGGTACTGGTTGTGCTGGTGTGAACTGACCTGCTGATGGAAGAGACACCAGTCACTGGCTGCCTCCTCCAGATGTGTCAGCTGAACAAATGCTCTGTCCTGCTCAGCTCTGAGCAAAGTTTAAACAGCAGCTTTACAGACCTTACCTGCAGTGGTGCTGAGCATTGGGTGCAGGAAGGAGGGTCTCTCCTCAAGTGAGGGCTGGGCAGTCATTTCTTCCAGTTCAGAGGTAAAACTGGGTCATTACAGATAAAGAACAATGTTTTTGGAAGCTGCCTCCCAAGGCAACAGAGTCCAGTTCATCCAAGCTGTGAATTAATTAACTCTTTTTTAAGTTTGCCTCTTAATACTGTATTTTGTTCAGGTATCCATAGGTCTGTATGTATTAGTCATCCCATTTTGTTTAGGATTTAGATTTCTTTTTTATTTTATAATAGTGAATTAGTCATTTATTATGTTTATGCCATGCTGCAGTTGAATTTGGCATGTTGGTATCTTCACTCATTTTGAGTTTCCCATTTTAAACAAACAAATGCAGCTGCATTTCCTTTCTCACCTATTCTGAAGTCACTGCTGAGGTGCAATTTCCTGGTTTTACCCTGTTAACAACTCCCACCTGCTTAACCAGAACCTCTCATTCATTTTTGGACAGCACCCTCACCAGCTGCCACCAAGTTTTGGCCTTCACCAAAGACCCAAAGCCAGAGTATGGATTTTGAAAACAGAGACCTTGAACTCCACCTCCTTTTCCCAGAGACTGACTGCATCCCAACGGTGCCATGGATGGAAACTCAGCAGCAAACTGCAGCCCCTTCCCTTGTCCTTTCCTGAACTCCTGCATGAAGGTTCAATTTTTATCGGTTTGACAGTTCTTGTTTGTGGAGTGTGAATCTGATTAAAGTGACTGTGCATAGTTTTAATACAAACTGTTAATGAAAATAAGCTTTATTACGTCAAGTAATAAATACATACAAAGATGCAAATAACAGTTTTAGTAATTTATCCAGAATTTTCCTTT